ATCTCTCTGAGTCTTTGGTAAGGTTGTTGGAGACTGTTCCACTTTGTGTTTTTTTCTTTTCTTTTTTCCTGCTCTAATCAGACTATCATCTGCTTGATTTTTTGTTTGGAACTTTAAAGAAAGGGTAAAGCAGAGATGCACTCGGACTCTGAATTTTCTTAAGAGTTTTCTCAGGTTAGTTTATTTCCCTCCTTTCTGGGTATTAATTCTTTTCTGTTAAGTTCATTTTTGTTGTATGGTCTGTGGATCTGATATATGGGAAAGTTTTGTACTGTAAAGTTGATAACTTGAAAGTTTGATGATTTCTTAGGCGATAATAACGATGTAAATAGGTTTGTATGCATTGATACTCAACTTTCATTTGTTGTTTGTGTATACTTGATTTGATTACGAAAAGGTTGCGTTGAATTTAATGTATAAGTACATATTAAACTTAAGTCAATTATACATATTGTTCTTCTAAGTTTTTCTGATTTGGAGTTGATAATCGCCTTTGGTAATCATGAAAGTCTGCATATTGACTATGTTCTGGACTTGGTTGCTATTGATTCTCAATCTAAGTCTAGCCGGTCAATAGTCCTATGGATGGAGTTTGTTGTAGTGCTTAACTTTTAATGAAATTGAGAGATAGAGTAGATTAGAATGATTGTGGCTCATAACTTGTCCGATTTTTATTGGATCTTTATAGGTTTTCATTTTCTTAATTTCAGAATTATCTTGGACATAGAGAAGGAAGAGAATATGAGGGTGAGGAACAAATACAGGAAACCAACAGCTTTCCCGTGTAATGTAGGGAGCAGATGTTCAATTTCTGCTGTTGTTTGGAGCTTGGTTGGGTTTCTTCTTATGCTTCAATTCTGCTCTCTTGTTAGCCGCAGAAATGAAGTCAGCGGAGATTTTAAATTACATATGAGTAGTCATCCATTAGTACGGGAACTTGAACAGGTGGAGGAGGAGAATATTCAAATTCCCCCTCCTAGGGGAAAACGATCCCCACGTGCGGCTAAACGGAGACCCAAGAGAACAACCACTCTGGTTGATGAATTTCTTGACGAGAATTCTCAGATTCGGCATGTATTTTTTCCAGATATGAAAACCTCTATTAATCCACTAAAGGATGCAGGAAATGATAGCAACTACTATTATCCGGGGAGAATTTGGTTGGATACTGATGGAAATCCTATTCAAGCTCACGGAGGTGGCATGTTATACGATGAAAGATCCAGTACATACTATTGGTATGGAGAGTACAAAGATGGACCAACCTACCATGCTTATAAAAAGGGTGCAGCACGAGTAAGTTTATGAATTTAAGTACATAATCTACTTAGAACTACAGCTTTGCAAATATGGCATTGGTCATTCTTCATTGACTGAGTTGTCGATATCCTTGAACAACCTGTATTCTTCCTGAGCTAAGGTTATTGCTTAAACTACCGTAGTACTATTCTTTGCTTAATTTGGTTTACAACTGAGGAGCTAATGCTGGTTTGTTATTTTTCTGACGTTGGACAGATTCGAGAAATGTGACTTGTGGCTTTTATGAGTTAAAGTTTAAATAAATTAGGGGTTTTAATGTATATATTTGTCTGGAGGAAAGGGCTTTAGGATGTGAGCAGTGGAAAAGCTGTAGGTTTATGGCTTCTGGATTCTCTGTCACCGAGGAAATATGAGGACTAAGGGTTTTAAGGGTTAGAGAAAGATTAGATAGATCTAGTTGAAGAACTCCGAAACAAGGGTTGAGGATCACATATATAGAGATAAAAGCGTGAAATGAGGAGTCTAGGCATCCATGCCTCATTGCTAAAATTTGCAAATTCACTAATAGGCCCTTCTAAAGTGTTGAGTGTTTCTTGGCCTGGTAGTGACTTATATATAAAGTCTGTCTAAGAAGTACCAAACTCCTATATGAGGAACTTACCTAATGCCAGTAGTTTGAACTCTGTTTTTTATGAATGATATGCCTTCCTATTATTGTATTTGGGGTACTGTTTCATACTTGCAGGTATCTTGCAATAGACATCCCATATTTTCTGTATAAAATGAAAGAAACTAAATGCAAAATACGATGGACTCTAATGAGACATTTTGTGGGTACTTTGCCAAATCCTCCATTTTGAATCTTCATGTTCTAATACTTGTATTATCCTCACTTTGGTGTTATGGAATGCAACAACGATTTCAATGTAGAGAAGCTTATTTTCACCTCAAAGATTTACTTGTTTAGGGATGGAGAAGCCCAATTCTTAGCCTAATAGAAGATGCCTGTATAATAGAAGATCCTTGCACAATTGTTAGTTGAACTAGTTAAGAGTTTAGGCTGCCCAGGTTAGTTTGGTTTGTGGAAAGTTAAGTACCTTTGTAAGTTCTGAGCTAATGGAAATTGTTATCTCTATCACTCTCTTTGAGAGTTGCATGATGCTTGAGATACTAGAACAAACCCATCATGTAATTTCTGAATTCTTAAGGTTTGAGTGTATGACGAGATGGTTACAAAGGTGTAATCATGTGGAGTATTAATGCTTTTATCCCAATGAAATACTTGATAGCATGGTCTTCTATCCTTCCTATTTACCTTGGAAGCAACGAAGCTCCTTCCTCGTGTCTGTACACTTATTCAACTTCTGTTGCTACCTAAAAGTGTAATACCTTTGATGACATGTGACCAAAATACATAAAATTGTAAAGCTCGTTTAAGATTAGAATTTGTGATTGACACCGGAGAGATTATATTAAATATTATATTTTTCCTAGCTTCCCCAAGGGATTGAGTCTTGAGTAGGTGAAAGAGAGAATACAATTCATTCTCTGTAGAATCTTCTCCCACTCTGAACTTCTTCCACTTGAATGCCCATCAGATGACTTCCGGCACCTATATTTACACATTATTTTTTTTAGTTGAAAGTTTTTATTGAATTTTTGGTTACTTTGTAATCAGGTTGACATTATTGGAGTTGGTTGCTATTCTTCCAAGGATTTATGGACGTGGAAAAATGAGGGCATTGTGTTAACTGCAGAAGAGACGAATGAAACTCACGATCTACACAAGTCCAATGTGTTGGAGCGGCCAAAAGTTATTTACAATGACAACACGGGAAAGTATGTAATGTGGATGCATATTGACGATGTCAACTATACTAAAGCAGCTGTTGGTGTTGCTGTTAGCGATTACCCGACAGGTCCTTTTGATTATCTCGGTAGCCAAAGGCCCCATGGATACGAGAGTAGGGACATGACCATCTTCAAAGATGATGATGGAGTAGCATATCTAGTTTATTCATCCGAAGACAACAGTGAGCTTCACATTGGACCACTAACCAAAGATTATTTAGATGTGAAGCCTGAAATGCGAAGGATTCTGGTCGGGCAGCACCGGGAAGCCCCCGCTCTGTTCAAGTACAGGGGGACTTATTACATGATCACCTCAGGTTGCACTGGATGGGCACCGAATGAAGCACTCGCTCATGCAGCTGACTCGATCATGGGACCATGGGAGACAATGGGAAACCCATGCATTGGAGGGAACAAAATTTTTCGACTTGCAACATTTTTCGCTCAGAGTACATTTGTGATTTCCTTGCCTGGGATTCCAGGTTCATATATTTTCATGGCAGACCGGTGGAATCCAGCCGACTTAGGTGACTCGAGATATGTATGGCTACCCTTAATAGTTGGTGGCCCCGCTGATCGACCTTTTGAGTTCAATTTCGGATTTCCACTATGGCCGAGAGTGTCCATATATTGGCATCGGAAGTGGAGACTTCCCTCGAGTTGGAGAGTGTAGGATTGATTTCTCATTTTTCTTCTTTCCAAATATATGGTTTTAGTGTATTGTATATCAAGGCTGTTCGCCTATTCTTTTCACCACATCACATGGTTTTCGCTACGATTTGCGAAGCCTTTTCCTACATCACACACTGCAATAATTTGATGTACATGTTTGATCTCTTGCACTGCCATGGAACATTCGAAGTTCATGTACTCGAGTAAGATTAGCTTTTGAGGATTCTAGATTGACACAGAAATATACTTTTATGGTTGAGACTTGGAGAAGCCTTCCCCTAAATATTTCCTTCACTTAAATTTTGTATGGTATGGAGGATGAAAATTTTATTAACCAAATACTTAATATTTTTAATATATATTTTTAAATTTTTTAACTCTTTGATTTTTATTTTATTTTATTCTTCCTCATTTCCTTAAGTTTTTAGTGCCACGGCATTTTTCTCGTCACAGAATGATGTAAAAGTGTAATGGATTGGGCTACGGCCTAGATTTCTTTCAAAATCCATATCCGGCTCAAGTTGGGTCCAACCTAACTTGAATGTCCATTATACTATTAAAAAGTAATATAATATTTAATATCTATATTGTGAGTGTGATATAATATATTTTATTAAAATAATCATTTGATACCAAAAGTATAGTTAGATATATTATATTTATAATACTACTTTGTATTTATCCTCTCTCTCTCTCTCTCTATATATATATATATATATATATAATATGATGTGTTGTAAGTGTGAGGAGTGAGGTAGTTTTAGATGTAAACCCCTAAAAAGTTCCCATTATACAAATTTAAGGGTTTATTTTTCTTTCCTTTTGTATGTGGGCCAAAAAGGAATGAAAGCATGTTTTTATGTCAAAGGCAGAACGAAAGCTTCTCCCTTCACAAATAAAAATAAATAAAAAGAGGGATTAAAAATTAAAATAATATTTGTATCCATGCATTCTTAAAACTTTAAAGAATTTTTTTATATAATTTACAAATAATATAAGTATATATATCCACTAAATCTCCGAATGCCAATTATGAGTCTAACACATGTATTATATTATCTAATTTCCTTAATAATTACCAACCCCATTTCATTTTTGGATCTACATTTATTTAAGGTATATGTATTAAAATTATGAAAATAAGAGTTTGAAATATAATAATTTAACTCAAAAATATAATCTTCATTCGGCTAACCGAACCACTAACCCTTTCAGAATGTTTATCCAGTTCAATTTATTAAAATAAAATTATACAAATCGATTTTGGCTAATTAAGTTGGCTACTTCTATATCCTCCCATGCAAAAAAGAAAAAAAAAAGATGAAGAATAAGAAGAAGCCTACCGCCGTGGTCAAGGCCGCCATGCACTGGCCCAAACCACCGGCTGATCTTTCCAAGACAAGAATATTCCGGCGTCGGAACATTGTGCCATTGACCAACCTTCTTTATACCTTCTCAACAAGGCGCGTACATCATCACACACTTCATCACTCAAAACCGCGGGGCCAAACCCACTTCCACGGAACCGTCTTGACCACCGCGCCGCCGGTTCGCGTCTCTCTATGGACTGGGACGGCGAGCAAGCCACCAACTCAACTATGGCTCGCCCAGCGGCTCGTTCCAGCATCAACCTTTCATTGCTTGTTTTAGGAAAGCTCTCGTCCAAGGCTTCGAAATAAACCCTAAACCACCTTAAACATTCTTGGAAACCCTTAACGAAGTCCAACCCATCAACCCCAACATCGAAATCAGCTTCTTCTTCGACGACGGTGATTATTCTGGGCTGCAGTTTCTTGAAATTAGAAATCATCATATCTCTACGATTATCAACGGCTCCGATCGAATGCAACGTCCCAACACAGTTGATGGCTAAGGCTTCATTCTCTTTGACATCAAGTTTTGATAAATCTAAGTCACATATATCACCGGCGTGGTGTATTACATTGAACTTAAAAGGAACTCCCATAAGTCTGGCGAACTTTTCCATTCGGCTTCCGATTTCTTTCATTATATCATCGACTGCAGCTAAGCTTCCTCCTCCTCCTGCTGCTCCTGAAGAACCTAAAGCGCTGCAGGTTTTGCTCGCGACGATCGTGGTTAGCCTCAAATGTGGGGTTTCATCTGTGCGGGTGGCTAGTGCTTCAAGCAAAGTAGGCCATTGGGTGCAATACGTGTTGCTTATATCAATTATATGTAATTTGCTTTCACTTTCGAAAGCTTCCATGATTGCACCATTACAAGCAACGTGACCAAAAGTAGTCCAGGGACTTACCTCTTGGAACTTCAATACCATCTTCCTCGTTGACTCGAAAGAACATGTTTTCTCAGATGCTGAGGCTAACGTTCGATAGAAACGCTCGCCGGAGTCGGTCATGCGGCTAAACAAAGCTTGAAGAAAGTAAGAACCAAGCTTTTGGTCGGTGTCACCGTAAGGTGAGCTAAGCTCGTTGAGCATCCACATTAGTTGTTGGAAACGTTCGCTGTTCCGATCGGCGATAGCGGTTGCTGTTTCCAGGAGGATATCGGTAGCCCACTTGCCGGAGAAATCGAAGTTATTCAGGTCACGAGCAGGGGAGAAAGTGGAGAATTCAGAAGTTTCAAAGGCATGGTGTCTACCAGTGGGAGTAGTAGTGGTGCCGGCGGCGTCGGTGGTTGTTGAGGTGGCAGAAGGATGGGAATGATAAGGATAGTACTGTCTAGAAGAAGACGAAGGGAAATCATCTTTATCCATGAAAAAGTTGAAGCATTCTTCGTATGGTTGGAGACCCGAAAATTCTAAACCATCTAATACCAAATAACAAGAGAGCTATTGTAAACACAAATTTACTATTTTAAAACAAATAAAATTTTAATTTATTAAAAAAAGTAAATAGCCATTTGGAGTTAAATAATATATTTTAATTTATTATTAATTAATATATTTACATGAAGTATTATAAAGATACCCGACAAAAATTTTCCATTATTTTCTTCTAACAAATATTCACTCTCTTTATGGTGACTTGTTTGAGAATAAATTTAGACATAGTTTAGGGTTCTTTCAAAGATTGAAATTAGCTTAAAATCGGAAGGCGGTTCAAATATTTATGAATTTTGGAATACATAGTCTAGGAGTTTGATTAATATTTTTTTAATAGTATAAGATGATTGTAAGATATTTAATCAATAGATAACGTAACATAATTTATCAACGTAGTTGCTCAAACTCAAAACTTCTAAATATAATAATATATTTTTTACTACTAATATAGTTGATGAACTACTACATTTATTTTACATAGAAATATAAAAATCTAATAGTCAGTGAAAAAGAAGTTATACGCGTCTCATTATAAGTGGGTCACAGGGTTTATTCCACTAGAATTCATTTTAATAAGCTTTGGGTGGATTGTGGGTATTGGGGAATGTTTAAAGAGAAATAAAAGGAAGAATAAAGGAGTTGGGAATATAATTTATTTTTGGGTAATCGATGAGAAAATCGGAGCATCTATTAGCTGGCTGATGGAATTCCTGTCTGACAAAAGAGATTCCAATATTTTGATGGGGAAAAAGATTGTAAAATGTTGGACCATACCATAACACAAATTAATTAGTATAAAGTAATTGAATAGGATTACTGCTGATAATTGGGTAAACGTGACACTAGCATTTTTAATTTCATAGGTGTAGGTGATAGTGGGAGCACGCGTGGGATACGGGTTACTGAGTGATAACTGGAGAGTAAAGCTGATGGTGTGCATCACCATCATTACACCCACCACCATCACCTTCAATGAATCATGGGATGATCAATTCAATTACATATTCATGTATTTAACATTTTATCTCAAATTATTATTATTATAGATTTTAAAAGGTGCAAATAAATGTTTTTTTTTTATTTAAATTTGAGTTAGTTACATCATACATCCCTAAAATATAACCCTCATTTTAAATTAGTTTTTAAGCTTTTAAATATTCTAATTCCATCCCCAAACTATGACTCTCATTCTAAATTAATCCTTGAACTTTTGAACATTCTAATTTCATCCCTACACTATGACCTTCTTTCTAAATTGATCTTTAAACTTTTGAATCTTCCAATTTCATCCTCAAATGCACCCAAATATGTAATTAGTTTCAACCATAGTACCTAAATTTTTTTCAAACATATAATAACATTAATCGGCTTAACAATTTTATTAACAGGGGATGTGATTAGTATATATATATTGTTTGGGAGACAATTGGAATGTTCAAAAAGTTTTGGATGAAATTGAAATATTCAAAAGTTTAAGGATTAATTTGGAGTGGTAATCATAGTTTAGGAATGAAATTGGAACATTTAAAATCTTATGAGCCAATTTAAAATGAGGATCATACATTGAGGACACGTGATTCGATTAACTCTTTAAATTCATAATTATTTATATAAATTCTAATAATCTTAGTCATTCCTCCTATTTTTTACGTGGTTTCTCTTTTATTCTTTTTAACATACTTTTTATGTTGACAGTTGAATTTTCTCTCTCTTTCTTTAAAATTTTATCGTAATTTTAATATTTTTATTTTATATATCTTAGTTATATTATGATATTTAATTTTATTTTTATTTTTTTTGCTTTTATATAAAAATAGTGAATGATTTTGTTTATTCACGTAGTATATATGTCTTCTTTTTCTCTGATGATAAGATTTGATATTGTCTCTTCGGTCAATATTTATTTGATTATATTACTAATTTATTTATGTTTTGGACTCTTGAATTTGTTTTATTTTATTGAGAGACGTTTACATTCATCAAAATATTTGAGATTGTGTTGTACTAAAAATTAATAGGTCAACATGATATCGTTATAATATGCATCTTTATGTTAATATTGGTGATGTTTATCCTTTATAGTAGATATATGATAATTGTTTATATCTATTATGTTAAATTTTAAATATTCTAATTCTATCCCCAAACTATGACTCTCATTCTAAATTAATCCTTAAACTTTTGAACATTCTAATTTCATCCCTAAACTATAACCCTCTTTAATATTGGTGATTTTATGTTAAATTTGAGTTAATTACATCATACATCCCTAAAGTATAACCCTCATTGTAAATTAGTCTTTAAGCTTTTAAATATTCTAATTACATCCCCACACTATGATTCTCACACTAAATTAATCCTTAAACTTTTGAACATTCTAATTTCATCCCTAAACTATAACCCTCTTTCTAATTGATCCTTAAACTTTTGAATCTTCCAATTTCATCCTCAAGTGCATCCAAATATGTAATTAGTTTCAACCATAGTACCTAAATTTTATTTTTTTCAGCACAAACCCCAGTGACCTCGATAGTAAAGGAATTGTTGTTATTCCTAGAGGTCCCGGGTTCGAGCACTAGGAATGCCAAGGGTACAAGTGTTCAATGTCTAATGGTTGAGAGTTATCTTTGAACAAATACTACCTTGTACTTACCCCAGATTATAAAAATTTATTATTTCAAAAATATAATAATATTACTCGGCTTAACAATTTTATTAACAAGGGATGTGATTAGTATATACATATCGTTTGGGAGGAAATTGGAATGTTCAAAAAGTTTGGGGACTAATTTAGAATGAAGGTCATAGTTTAAGGATGAAATTGAAATATTTAAAAGTTTAAGGACTAATTTGAAATGATAATCATAGTTTAGGAATGCAATTGGAGCATTTAAAATTTTATGGACCAATTTAAAATGAGGATCATACTTTGAGGACACGTGATACGACTAACTCTTTAAATTCATAACTATTTATATAAATTCTAATAATCTTCTTTCGCCCTATTTTTTACTTGGTTTCTCTTTTATTCTTTTTAATATACTTTTTATGTTAACCGTTGATATTCTTATCTTCTTTAAAATTTTATCATATTTTTGTTATTTTTATTTTGTATATTTGAGTTATATTATGATTTTTTTTTTGCTTTTATATAAAAATAGTAAATGATTTTGTTTATTCTTATGGTATGCTTCTTTTTCTTGAGGATAAGATTTGACATTGTTTCTCCAGTCAATGTTTATTTGATTGTTTTACTAGTTTACTCATATTTTGGACTCTTGAATTGATTCTATTTTATTAAGAGACGATTATGATCATTATAATATAAATTGAGATTGTGTTGTACTAAAGTTAATAGGTAAACATGATATCATTATGATATGCATTCTTATGTTAATATTGGTGATGTTTATCTTTTATGGTAGATAAATGATATTTGTTTGTATATATTATTTTTCGAGTTATTTAGGTTGATTTTTTTATTTAGTTGTTAATTTATATATTTTGATGAGTTTTCTTTAAAATGGTTAGTTAATATAGTTTAGTGTACTCTAATTTTGTAAATTATTATATTCTGTATTATTAGTTTTTTTCCTAGTCAAGCTCATCAAATAGTTTATAAACAGAACAAAGCAATAATTAGTCTATATTTTTTTTGCTCATATTAGTCTGAAATTTGACAATATTTTCAATTTAGTTGTTTGATTAAAATTTTTAATTTTTTTATGACGTGACACTTTAAGATTATAATATTATTATTAAATAGTTTAAAAAATATTTGTATGTTATAACGTGATATGATATTATAATATTATACTATAAAAATACTAAAAAATTAATTTCATGAATTAAACTGAAAAACTTATAAAATTTCATGTCTAATTAAAAAAAGTTTGAATATTTAACTGAGAAAATATAGTGATAACTCTTAACTCGATTTGTATGATTGTTATTACAATATTTATGAGGACATGTTATATCCAGAAAAATTTAGGACGTAAGTTCAAATGTGCATTATCTTTCGATTTATGAGTGGAGTGAGATCTAAATAATTTAGACTATTTAATTTAAAAAAATAAAGAAAACAAATTTGAAGACTAAAAACTAATGCACCATTTTCAGTATATCATGCCTTGGATATTAGCTTGCAGAAAATCTTAAAAGTCAACGTACGAACTTTGTAAGTGATTTACATAATCTTCGTTGAATCAATGGGTGGCTACTGATCATGCACTTGTATTGCTGTAGAAACATTCTCATGAATTGTGTTTTCCCTCGATTTTCTTCAACGATGATTAGGAGATGCCAGGGTCCCACTCTTTTGTGCCCGATCAACTTGTCATGAATCATCGAAACTCAATTCTTTTGCTTCGAAAATAATCCTACAGTAGTGGATGTTTGATGGATTTGTGGGTCCAAATTTGTTCACATATGTTTGGTTTTGAAAGTTTTGTAGGAGAATGTAGATGAAATGTCATAATATGATTTAATCCTAAATATTGTGACCACAGAATGCTATGCAAGAGTGCTTAGCTTCAGAAGCCTTCATCAAATCCAGCTACTACTTGAGATTCTAAAACATTGTCCTTTTTCTTTATCCTTGTTCATTAATGAGGTATTATGCTTTAAGGACAATGGAAAAGGAAAAGCATGGGTGTTTCTCACTTTTACCAAATGGGATTCAATTCAAAGTGTATACTATTCCATTGTTCTTTTTCCTGCATATAGTTTTAATCAAGTTGTGAAGCAAAAGTGATTCGATGGAGAAAACGACATCAAAGGTTAAAAGGTTGACCCAACTCACCGACACTTGGGTGGTGGTGGTCGGTGGGTAGCTGCTTGGGTTCCAATGTTGTTTAAAACCCACTCTACACCGAAAGTTGAGGATTTATTTCCTGTTTCTTTTACTATGTCCCAGAATTAGAAAACTCTGAAACATCACACCAAGTTGTAGTGTAGACAAGGTTTAAGAATAAGATTTCCAAGTTACAAGTGGACATTTGGTAAGTGGTCCATAATTGCTAGTTTT